ACTCGTTTGTAATTCCTTTTATCCTTCTGACATCGCATTCTATTGCTAGAAATATCTGTTTGTGACTTTATATCGCTGATCAAAATGCATTATCATTTGTTGTGTTTAGTTTAACAATTTCTACTTTCGCAGGCCATGTCTATTTACTAGATTTGCTTTACAGTTTTCACTTAAATTTCACTATCCAAGGGTTATCGATAAGAAGTAGTGAAATGATGCAATTCCAGCTTTTAGTTTTGTTTACCTTCGATATCTATCGCCGAGTAAATGCTAAAATTGTTGGTTTTTAGGAGAGAAGAGATGCCTATATGTGCTGACCCAAGGGGTACGGTTTTCACTCCATCCCATGATAGCCTTGAGGCAATGGTGGGACTTTTGCGTCGACACCTCTCTGTTACATCACCTTCTCCACAGCTTTTAATTAATATGGTGACGCTTCTGGTATCCATGCCACCTTCCAGTTTGCCCGCATTCTTTTTCGTTAGAAAACAATTTACACAAATATGCCTAGTCCTTATCCCCTCTGCCAATAATGGTGATCCTCTTACACTGCCTCCGGGTGCCTCTCATGTGCTCCAGGTAATGGGTGTCGTGACACAACGGCAAATGAGATGCCAGCACAAACCTCTACGAGCGGTAACTGCAGTCAGTCTGATTCTCACCCTCCACCGCCACCAGGCTGATAAATGTAAATCGCGCGAGGTTTTAAGCACGAAACTCCTACCTATCAGTGGAGACTTCTTCACGGGGGAGTTTTGTTTGAACCTGCCGTCCAAAGCCGAAATATGTCGACTTACTGTTGAGGCATTTCTGATTGACGAACACCGAAGAAGGTGGCGGCTGGGCAAGGAGGCTGGTGCGGTCGCCTTCCTTAACATCCGTCTGGAAAATGTTGGTGGCAGTAGTAGTGTGGGTGACCCACAAGCAACCTTCAATGACTTTGATTTGCCACTATCAGTCCAAGTTGAAGGAGTTCTTGGGAGTAATATTTCGTCATAATTGTGTATTTTACTAAACTTGTTGGTTTTAGAAAACGCATATTTTGTATTTGTTGTCGGTTCCATCATCGATTCATTGCATTCGATGCTCCCCATTGTCGAGCCTTTATGAAGAAAAGTGAACGTTCTTAGCGTTATCACTTTCTTCGCTTGATAGATTGGTTCATGGGGATCGTTGGAATTTTAATTTATTAATCAAGTTGCTTCTCATTCACATTACCTATGTCCAAACCACGACAAGGATCGTAGTCTATGAAGGGAGACGTCGAGGTTGGACTCTTCCAGTAGCTCGTCATTGGTACCCTTCTTGCCTTCCACATGTTTGATCAATGCCGAATTTCACAGCCTTTGATCGGTCTGGTGAAAATCAAGGAGAACGTGAAAATGGTTCTGAATGTAAGTTTTGTTGTATCATCTTCCCGAATTTGCAATTTCACGGATTTTATCCTAGTTCGTATCCATAGTCTTAACTGCATTTCACATGATGCCT